GTGGCAGTGTGTGTGGGGCAGTGTGTGAGTATGGGGGGGAAGGAGGCTTTTTAATAATGTTTTTTTTTTTTATTAAATACATTTATGTCCCCCTCCCTTCTTACCTTTATTGGGGGAAATGTCTTAGTCCCTGGTGGTCCGGTGGGGATTCCCTGGTGGTTCCAGTGGTTAGAGTGAACTCTAGCCCGTAGCTCCAGGGCTAGAGTTCACTCGTGCGAGATTTGGAGCGTTGCCGTGGTAACCGCAGTAACGCTCCGTGCTCGCGAGAGTAGGACCCGGAGGAGCTGCAGGCTGAGCTCCCGGGTCCTCTCTCCCTCCATCCCCCCGCTGGCTGCCAGCACAGTGCCTGCGGACTGAGGAAGGAGATCTCTGATCTCGCCTCCGGTCCTTGAAGGCACATTGCAGGGCTGGCACTTGGACAATGCCAGCCCTGCATTAGCTGGCAGGGGAGAATCTTGGGGGGGGGCAATTGCCCTGTTGCCCACCCCCCTGGATCTGTCACTGGTGGTACGCAGCTCAGTTGTTCACATATTTAATGACAGAGGATATCCCTATTTTAGGGAAAGCGCAGTCCCCTTTTTTCTGTATATTTCCCCACATATTTAGGTTAGATGTATTTTCCTAATAGGACTAGCTGCCTCCCTCATAGTGCCACCCCTTTCCCTTCCCCCTGTTTTTTTTTCTCTCTTTCCTTTTTATTTTGCTCCATTATTTTTTTACTGATTTGCAATACATTTGCTCACATAATGTTCTTTCAGGCTTAGCGGAATTATCATCATATATGTCTTTCAAGAACTGATACTTGTAATTTTAATTATTCTATATCACTTCCTAGGAAAATAATTACAGCTGGGGTTATATATGATATGGTTTATAATATGTTATTTAGAGGGTTTCCAGAGTAGAGAGATTTAAGACCTTGCAAGGTTTTATCAATAGAGGATATTGAAGAATCCATCAACATACTTAAAAGATAAAAGCTGCAAATGAAGCAAACCAATCTTAGTAAGGTTGGATTAAGGACAAGAAAGAAAAAGTAAAAATGAAAAAAACTTAATTATGTTTTGCAACAAAAACAAAGAATACAGAGAAGCACTGTCACATAGTTGTGTAATACAGAAGAAAATACATACATACAAAATTAAGTCCTGTGCTTAAACTTTGACTACTCCTGAGCGGCAGTAATGACTATAGTACACATCAGCCCCAATACATACAATTTTAGCCGATTTTAGTGAATGATACTCATTTGAAAGATGTCCTTAACCCATATCCTTCAATTACAGCTAGAAGAGGTAGTAACCTGCACAATAGACTGGAACACAGCACCATTTTTAGCCATCATCAACCCATTATGAATAATAGTATGTGACTGCAGAAACCTTTGGTGGGCTCATACAAATGTGCCCATTGCCTAGCATGGCCAAATATTCTATGACAATCTAAGATATTTTTAGGCGGTCAGGAGGGCTCTAAGTTTTCAGGTGTGGTCTTTCTTTAACTGCAAGACAACAGGTGTCCATTATCTTTTAATTTGTTCTTGTGGTCTAAAATATGTGGGCAAAGGACGGGCGTGGCCTGACACCTAGTTGGATGGATGCTTTCTAACGAGGCTCCTGCAGAACGGGTGCCAAAGGGCTGAAAATAAACGGTCTAACTAGCAAAAACAGAACATAATTTACTTCACTGCACATGAGAGATGTCCCAGAGGCAGCAAGCTAAAACAGCTAAGGCCGATCGAGCATCTTTCTTCCTAGCAAAACCAACCACAGCACTGTCACGAGAAGGCTGCAGCCTGACCAAAGATGGTGGCGACCCACGCCCGGAGGAGGGTCCCCCTTCATCTCCGACATCCTCGGATGTTGGACCTGATGACAGGCCGCTCACGGTGGCAAACATGAAGAAGCTGCTGGCAGAACTTACCGAGAATATCCAAAGGAATATGACTGCACAGATACAAACCCTTACAACAGACCTCTGTAAGGAGATACTTGAAGTAGGCCAACACACTGCACAAGCCGAAAAGCGGATGGACGAGTTCGTAGAGGCACACAACAGCCTCGCATATAAGCTGCAAGAAATGGACTTCAACCTCCATGACCACACGCTGATAATGGCCGACGTGGAGGACAGGTCGAGATACAAAAATTTGCGGATACGTGGCATCCCAGAGACGGTCCTGAACTCGACCCTCAACACCTGCTTGCTGGACCTGTTCCACGCATTGACACCAGAGACCCACCCGGTCCAGCTCATCATAGATCGGGCGCACCGGCTGAGGAGACCTAAACGCCTCCCAAACTCGACTGCGAGGGATGTCATCGTTAGAGTACACTTCTACCACACAAAAGAAAGGTTGGTCAGAGCTTCCTGATCCCCAGGCTTCCCTTACCAAGATCTCAAAATCTCCACAGATTTATCGTCGGGGACTCTCCAATTCCGCAAAAGTCTGACACTCCTCACGACCACATTGCGTACACAAGGAATTGCCTACCGCTGGGGATACCCAGCAAAATTGCTAATTCACTACCAGGACGCTCTGCATGGAATTGATTCATTATCAGCGGGCAAAGAGAAATTTAAAATCTGGGGACTGACATTAACAGAGTCAGGAGAAAGGAATATGGCGAAGATATCTAGGATGTCCCCGGAGTGGACACCAGCCTGATACCATAGATGCCAACAGCAGTTACCTCTCCTCCACACCAAGGAGGCATTAAGTATAAGTATACCTATGCCTTGACTGCTAAAACTAGTGCGGACACTGTTCTTATACTGTTTGCTAAAAACATTAATAGTTAATATGTTCTAACTTATATACCACGGGTACCTGGTTGGGTGAATGTTAGGGGGAATCAAGGGTTCTGACTCCCAAACTAATTATATCAATGTGATATAGGTGCACCCCAGACACAGAATGGTATAAGAGAACTTAATCAGCTTCACACAGTCCTAAGTGCCATGGATGAGCCGTCCTCTACACCAGGCTCATTGAAATGTACCCCCCCCACCTGTGGCCAATACAATGTTGGCGCGTCTAGGCTCTCTCAGATAGAGCTCAATTTGGGTTTTCACCCCCTGCCCACTTCCCAGTTCTACCTACCTCCTTCTACCTACCCAGGTTTACCCCAGCAGAATCCGGCACAGTGCACAGCGGTTAGAAGGGGCAACCCAGAGTAAATACCCAACTGTGACAGAACAAAACATTACTTCATACGTCAGGACAACACAAGAGGATGATATAAAGTTGACCTCCCTAATAGCTCTATACTTTGAACCAAACACCATATCTCTTAGCAAAAACCATCTCTGTTTACTATTAGAGTAGAAACATACAATGTGAAAGTGCTGAATACCCCGGGTAAATGGAGACGGTTGCTTAGAGATCTTATAAAGAACAAAGTAGATATTGCATGTATTCAAGAAACCCACTTTAAGAAAGGGAACACACTTAAGATCTTCAGTAAACATTTCCCCACACAATATCATGCGTTCTCAGATAATAAAACCAAGGGCGTATCTATATTTACACATAAAGAAGTCACCTTTATGAAGCAGAGGCACTTAATCGACCCCCAGGGCAGATTCATAATCCTCCTGGGCCTCTTTAACGCTACCCAATATACTTTGGTCATGGCATACTTCTCTAATGACAATTCCAAAAACTACCTTCAATCCCTGCTAACCAAAATTGACCAATATCGCCAAGGTAACTTACTCCTCTGTGGAGACTTTAACTTCACCCAAGCACCTCTAGACAGATCAGAGGAGATGGGAAGCAGTGGTCACCAGACACAGGATAAAATTTACAAACACATCTCCAAACTTTTATTCCTTCATGACCTCTACGATGTTTGGAGGACCCTCAATCCTGGGAATAGAGACTATAAATTCTATTAGAGAGCACATAACTCATACTCCTGAATAGACGCTTTCTTTGTAGACAGAGTAACCCTACCTCATGTCTCTGACTGTAAGATTGGTGAGATCACCTGGTCTGACCATAGCCCAGTTACTTTAGATCTAAAAGACGACTTCCAGTTCCAGGGAAAGGTAACATGGAAGCTAAATGATTCTCTTCTGAGTGATGAGAAATTTGCCTCCACAATACAGGAAGAATTAAAAAATTATTTTAAAACTAACACCAACCCAGAGACCGCATATTTCACTGTATGGTCAGCACATAAAGTGGTACTCAGAGGCCTCTTTAGACAAGCAGCGTGAATTAAAAAGCTCCAAAACTCTGCACAACTGGACTGCCACACACAGATAGCCCGACTCTCAGCGTTAAATAAATCACATTCTTCAAAAGACACAGCGACTAAACTCTCCCAACAATACGACAAACTTAGAGACCTGAATGCAAACAAAACCAGAAGACTCCTACACAAAATAAAAGCTGACACCTACCACCATTGTGGTAAAGCCACCAAACTCCTAGCAGCTAGATTGCGCAAGAAATCCAATTCACAAAGTCTGTTCTCCATATGAATAGATGGCTATCACGGGATGGCTATCTGGGGTATGGTGTATTCCGGTACAAACTATCGAATATAGGGCCGTTCGTGCACTTCTACCGAACAAGAAGGGAGGTCAGCGGCTTCAGCGATGTTCGCGCCAAAATGTATCCGTTTTCAGTTCCATGAGTTGGGCATCGAACACCGCTGTGCGTTCGCATGTTTAAAATGGCAGCAACCTCGTGTTCGGTATACGAATGGCGGCCACCCAGCACTCGTCAATTAAGTTGCGGTTAACCGCAGCTTCTGGGAGGTTAATTGCCGACACCCTCCAGCTCCCAGGTGGTCCAGTCATTCATGTGTTAGTTCGGTAGATTGAATCTACCGAACACCGGGCAGAAAGGCATGAATAAGCCTTTTCTGAAGGGGAAAAGAAGGCTTTTAACATGGGTCCATAATCCAAAGGCAACAGGCGAGCAACCAGGCTTCTCCAATGCAATGTGGTGAGATTGGTCTCGTCACACAATAACATTACATGAGGTCATGACGGCCATTAAAGCCCTTCCTCATGCGAAATCCCCAGGGGTGAATGGGTTCACAAATGTATATTACAAGACGTTTGCTGACACACTGGCCCCCCACCTCCTGAAAGTCTACCACCAAGCCACCGCAACAGGCTTCCTCCCACTGCTTTTAGCAACCATTATCACCATCCCGAAACCGGGTAAGCACACGAACGACTGTAAAAATTACCATCCGATCTCCCTCCTTAACACGGATGCTAAACTGTACGTGAAAATCATAGCAAACAGGATGTCCCTGTTGTTGCTGAAGCTAATGAGAGATGACCAAACTAGGTTCATTAAGGGGAAACACCTACAAACTCATGCATGTCTTTGAGCAGCTCCAGAGGCCTGGCCGAGGGGGTCTGCTATTAGCATTGGATGCAGAAAATGCGTTTGATCCCCTCAGTTGGGCCTTCTTGAGACATGTTCTAGTCAAATATGGATTCCCCCAACAGGTCATCACTCAAATTTTTGCATTATACTCTGCCCCTAAGGCTAGGGTTCTCCAGGCAGGGTGCCTCTCCGACCCATTTGAACTTACAAACGGGACTCTCCAGGGGTGCCCGCTGTCCCCTCTACTATACGTATTAGCAATGGAACCACTCTTGGCCTCAATACAAGCCCACCACAACATAACTGGTCTCCAGGTTGGTGCAAGGGAAGTGAGAATTAGTGCTTTTGCAGACGATATTTTGCTATATATGTCCCACCTGACAAAATCACTGCCCAACATTATGACGCTCATTCAGGATTACGGAGCACAGTCCTACTACTCCCTAAACACCTCTAAAACTCAAGCACTTAGTATCGGGGTATCGGTAAATGATCTGAGGGGACTAAGGAAGACATACCCCTTCGACTGGAGGAAACAAGACATCACTTACCTAGGGCTCCTCTTTACCAAGAAGGCATCAGAACTATACACAGGGAACCATATATAAATATGGAAAGAGTATAATCTACAACTTAAGCGCTGGGCCCCACTTTACCTAACATGGACAGAAAGAGTAGTGGCATTCAAAATGTCTATCCTTCCCAAACTACAGTATATCTTTAGAACTCTCCCGATCACAGTCCGAAAATCTTTCTTTCAGATGGTACAAAAGACACTTTTGTCTGGGCAGGGGCCAAACTGAGAGTAGCTAGGAAAATTTTACAAACACCAAAACTTACTATCACACATCCATACTGTCCTCACTCTTATCCCACTTTACAGATAAGAAACCCCCCCAGTGGGTAGCGATAGAGGGGAGCCTACTGAAACCCTATGCACTAGCAAACCTCATGTGGCTGCCAAAAAATCACCTCCCTCCACTGCCTCAACCATCAAACCTAGTAACACTTAGGTTCAAAATATGGGATAAACATAGATCTACAATCAGCTCACAGACCACGCTCTCACCAGCCACACCGATAGTGGCACTGCCGTATTGCATACCTACTTTCCATGCCAAACCATGGCTTGACAAAAACCTAACCCACACCTATCACATCCTCCAGAAGGGGGATCTATTAGATTTCTCTAGATTGAGAGACACACATGGGCTCCCCCAGACCTCACAATTCTCACATATGCAGCTGAGATCGTTCCTACACAAACCAACATATGCAGTGGCGAAAACAGACTCAGAGAAGGGACAAATCACGGTGTGGGAGCACTCAGCAATGGAATACCTTGTTCCAAGACATTAACCAATTGCTCAAATCCACCACTCTAGTAGAGCAGCAGAGAAAAGTCATATATAGATGATACATGGTACCTACCAGACTCCAAAAATTCTATCCAAATAGCCCCCCCACCTGCTTGAGATGTGGCGCACTAGGAGGGGTTGTCATCAATATTTGGTGGCATTGCCCAGCACTTAGATCATTCTGGGCCGCGGTCCATAACCTATCAGAGTCAATAACAGGTCTCACCCTATCATTCACACCCCGAATTTATGTAACCTTACTCCTTCCGAGTGAGATTCCCAGAGCTACAAAGAAACTTATCTACCATGTCCTTCTCTCAGCCCATAGAGAGATTGCAAGAGCATGGAAAACCAAGAATTGTTCGCCCCTCTCTAAGCTGCTCTCCAATATACAAGATCAAAGAGCATATGAGGAAGCATATAGCAAACTATGGCCCCCATCCCGGGCAACGGCACAGTCATGGGAGATATGGGACACATGGAGATCGGCGCAACAGGTACATGCAAGTACCGATGTCAGAGGAACAAAATGAAAACAAAACTGGAAATGTTACTAGGTCACTAAGTGTACTAATGTATAATAAAGCTCACCCTATAGCCTTGCGGGGAATCAGTACCTACCTGTTATTGTACTGTATAACATTACTATGGACTGTACACAAATAAATCAAGATTACACAACTGCTGGACCCATCCCCCCACCCCCAACTTCCTTCTTCCCTTCTGTACCCCTCCCCCCTTCTTTGTTGGTTGTTGAAAATAAGAAAATTGTCACAAAAAAAAAGAAGTATGTGGGCAAGACACTATGATTGTTAAAATATCACATTCATGAACATGTCAATTCTGTCAAAGGCAGAATTTATACTCTCATCTCAAGACACCTGAAAGAATGCCATGGTGGATTCTGTGATAATTTCAGGTTTCCTTATGGCGCCAACGTTTCTAGCATCTCTAGTAAAGCGTACCCAGTTTTTTCAGAGTTGCAGAAACCAGATCCCATCAACTGAGTGCTCTCATTCAATGACCCTCTTGTCTAACATTCTCATTATCCTAAGATGCTATCAAGGAGAGATGGATGGACTACAACCTTAAAGTCAAGTTGATGAAAGAGAATAAATACAGAAGGCGAAAGCTAATGATTAGTCAATCACTAGCCACCTACTAATGCAGAAAGTGGGAAGAGATACCAATCTGAAAAACCTCTACTTTGGAGGACATATGTTTTATTTTTGTAGTATTGTGCTGCACCTTTTTATGCATTCCGAGGATATCATTTATGGCAAGCAATTACATTTTCATAAAATGTGCTTTAACTATCCTTTTAATTCAACTGTTTCACCTTTCATTTTTGTAATTTTCATTGGTTAAATTCTACATCTATAAAACTGTTAAAAATGTCTTTCTTACTTTATATAATAGTAAAGAACACAATTGGAGGTTGTTTATGAAATGTATATTTCCTAATATTAGCATATAGTTGCTAGATGGAAAATAGTTAAACAATTGGAAATTAACTGACAAATTCTATAACATAATTTCTATTGCTTCTGTAAGATAATATACAGCTAAAGCTTAAATAAATAAAAAGGAAAGAAATATGTAATATCTCTTAATACATTATATTATTCTATCTTTTTTTTTAATTCTGACACCTTTCTGGATTGGGCATGGTCACTGCTCGGTTATCTGTGTCTGCTCCAGAAAAATTTAACCCCATAACACACCACTTGCATAATACCTCTTACATCACATGTCAATAACAAGCTCACCATGCTCCTCATCTGGTGACTCACTCACAAATATTTATATGTGGTGGAGCCTTTCCATAAAGTTAGGTAAAGTCACTTTTCATCCATGTTTCAGTGGATGGCCTCAAATGCTTTAAACAGCCTTGGTAGCAAATAGAAAATTGGGGGTAATTTTAATATTTTTACAACCACTGTGAATATTTGGTTTGTTAATGTATTTTGGGTTGAAATACAAAAAAAAAATACATTTTTATTTAGATTCAATATCTCGCTAAAGTCTAAAACTAATTCATTTGATGACCAAGAGATGATATATCATTTCTAGACTAGAACAATGTGCTTTGGAATCAAATAAAAAACTGTACAATGTAACAAAATGAGTTAAAAGAGAAGCCTCGGTTGAAGTCTATCAAATGGAATGTAGATCCAGCAACTGTTGACAGTCATGATACTCACAATATATATATATATATTATTTGAAGGCTTGGCCTGTAGTTGTGGGAGGGGCTTGGTTCCCCTTTAACCACTTAAGGACACATGACATGTGTGACATGTCATGATTACCTTTTATTCCAGAAGTTTGGTTCTTAAGGGGTTAAAAGGGTTGCCAATCTACTCCCACTTTACCGTTGCTGGTCTGGCGAGTCTGAAATGTTTTACTTCCGGTACAGATCGCCATCTTGGATTTTCCTTACCTGTTCCCTCGTGGTCTCCTGGTCCGGTGCTTCCCTGGCTCTCCTTCTCGTTGCCGCGTCCGCACAGCCCGCTCGTTACTTTACCACAGCAAAAAACGTAAGTCAGGCCCGCCGTAAAGCAACTGCTGCAAATTCCCTTGCTTTACACGGCGGAGCCCCGTTCGTTACAAGCCAGCGTTCGGTTCGTTTCCTTTTATGCATTATGCCATTTGCCTAAATTCCCTCATCTAATCGCATGTTTCACTTTGTTCTAAGCTAACGAACGCTATCATGCGGTTATATACATGTAACATCGATCTGTTCGGTTTTCGAATGCCACTTAGGATGTATCTATTCGTATGTTTCTACACTCTACCTAGTTCTTTTGGTAATTACACTAACTCACGAATAAGCACAAATTCAGCCGGTACTCCATGGGGATTTTGCCCCTACTGTTTATAAACGTTATTACAGTCACTTATATGAATTCTACAAAGTAAATAGTAATGTTTAAACCTGGATGATGTGTCCTGATTTCCTGACTTTTCCCACAGATTCATACCAGGGGTTCGTACTAGGAATTGTGAATTCTGACACTTGTATCAATTATATTTACTTCTAGGTTGGTTAGAATTTAATTATGCTTTTAATTTTGAAGGCCAATGATACATATTAAAATTAGTTAAGTGTGTAATTTACTCTTTTAGGTTATTATCCGTTGGACGGTAGCTTTTACAAGCACGGAAGCAGTCATCTTTTTCGTTTAAATCTACCCTCTGCAGAGTGTCGGGCAGGTTCTTGTTTTAGGGCCCACGATCTGGCCAAACCACTACATTTCAGTCAGACGTTTATATATCAAATCTCATGTCCACAGGTAAACATCTCGAGACTCTTACAGTCGCTGGTTACCTCTACTTTGACAGCTCAGCCTGACTCACATATCAGGTACTACGCCAGAACCCATTACTTTCCATGTTCTGAGGGGTACTGGTCCTAGATTACGTGGCCCAATTAGGAAAAATGTTCTGATCTTAATCCATAGGCTAGTGGTCCCGCGAGACCAACATCCCCATCCTTATACTCGGAAGAATACACCCCTCGGGCCAAATCATAGCTAGCCGTCTCGCATGGTTGCATAGAGAGGGCCTCACCTATCACCTACCATTCTATCATATGCTTTAAACTGCCACCGAGAGGCCAACACCCCGCCACAACATTTGGTGGCCTCATACGTTCCCCTCGGGCCGCTTGGCAATTAGCAGGGACTCATCTGTCACTATCATGAAGTGTAATTGTTTCGCCGCTTGGTATTTAGCTAGCCTTACCAGTACCCACCCAATTAAAACATTACAGAGTGATTGAGTAAAGCTACCTTATATTTTTTAGTTATGTCAAATACTCCTGATATCCCTGAGGAACTCTCGCTACCCTGCACGCCTGCTAGGCCTGGTACCCCTGTTCCTGGAACAGACGTTACTAGTCCTTCATCACTCAGATCATGGACCATCCCACGTCTCACTGCAGAACTTAGAAGACGCTGCATCCCTTTCCCAGCTACTGCTAGGAAGGCAGAGTTATTTAGACTTTTAAACACTGCCACTGACAACTCTGATGCAGGGGAAGGCCCTAGTGGCACACAATTGCCAGTGTTTCACGCCATGATGACTTCTCCTATGTCATCCATCAGCACAATTAGCGATAGGCTGGATAAATTGGAAGCAAGTGGTGCTAAACAGACCGCTACAAACTCAATTGTTTCCAGTCACCCTCTTGCTGACATACCTGGTAATTCATTGGAATCTGTATCAATTAGTGAAGCTATTAATCCTTCGCACATGGTCCCATCTCACCTTAAAAAGGACATTCTGGAAGGCAAGGATGTAAACCTGGTTTCATTGCTTATAGCCGCCCAGGATGTCCTAGAGAATAGGATATTTGCATATGGGGATATATCAGTTGTACTAAGGGCAAGAGACCCGAGGCTGAACAAAAAATTGACAATCCCTGAATTTGTACTAGGTTTTGGGATTTATAGGGATGTTTATTGCTCAGTATACCCGGGGAAAAGAGCAGAGCTGGATGCATACATGCACAAGATGGTGGACCTGGGGCACAAATACAGTGGTACCGCTTTTTACGATTACCACCGTTCCTTTTCTGCAAAGGTGACTGCAGCTCTGGCTCAGTTCAATTTAAGCATTAAATCGAGCAAATTGGACACTGAGTTATTCTGCAGGCATTTTGCAGGCCTCAGGCCTCCAGCTTGTGCAGTTTGTGCATCCACAGCACATCACGCAAATTTCTGCACAAACACAGCAGAAATCGAACAAAATCAATCTACCTCTAACTTTCCTAAATCTGCCAGGGGATTAAAAGACAAACTGGGTAGGGATATTGTATTCCTGGGTAAATCCCAGGTTTGCAATAACTTTAATGCGGGGAATTGTGGTTTCAGCTCTTGTAGGCTGATGCATGTATGTTCCCACTGTTTCAGGGCCCATGCCAAAACTATGTGCCCGAATAAAGCATTCCCCAAACTGTATCACACGTGTGTGAATATCATATTATTGACCTCGCTT